CTTGGCCTCCCGGAGTGCTGGGATGACAGACTGAGCCACCGAGCCTGGCCCTTGCCGTTCTTAAAGGCTTTCCCTGGTCCCGGATTGGTGGGTTAGGGAGCTGACTGTCTGCAGTGAGGATCAGGAAGCAGAGCTCTGAGATCGGAATGGGTTCACCTTGACCTCTCTGTCCAGTGGCACACTCTGACTCCAGCTGGAGCCAGTGGAGCGGGACGGGCATCTGTTTCCCCCTCCGCATCCACAGCAGGGCAAGGATGATGGGGCTCATGTTCGCATAACACCTGTGCAGAGTGGTTCTCGCGGTCCCTCCTGATCATCCCTTCTTAGCCGATGGGGACATTGCGGCTTTGAGAGGTTAGCTGGTTTGTCCAGTGACTGAGAGTGAGGGATCAGCTGGGCTTCCGGCAGCGTTCTTCTGGAGTTGAGGTTGATGCGTGAATGGCGATGTTTGGGCAAATGGTAAGACGGATGGATGGCTGGGTGGGTAGGTGTGTGTGGGGGTGGGCGGGTGAGTGGACGGGTGGACGGGTGAGTGGATGGGTGGACGGGTGGACAGGTGGACGGGTGAGTGGACGGGTGGACGGGTGAGTGGACGGGTGGACGGGTGAGTGGACGGGTGGACGGGTGGATGGGTGATGGATGGGTGGACGGGTGGATGGGTGAGTGGATGGGTGGACGGGTAGATGGGTGAGTGGACGGGTAGATGGGTGAGTGGACAGGTCGATGGGTGGATGGGTGGATGGGTGGGCGGGTGGATGGTGGCTAGCAGGATGAACAGGTTGGTAGGTAGAGGGTTGAAGAATGGATGGGTGAATCAGTAGATGGACGGATGGGTGGGTGAGTGCTTGGACATGTGGATGGATGTTAGATAGAAGGGTGGGTGACTGGGTGGGTAGGTGTGTGTGTGGGTGGATGGGTGAGTGGACTGGTGGATGGGTGGATGGGTTAGTGGACGGGTGAACGGGTGGACGGGTGAGTGGACGGGTGGACGGGTGAGTGGACGGGTGGACGGGTGGGTGGACGGGCGAGTGGACGGGTGGACGGGCAAGTGGACAGGTGAGTGGACGGGTGGACAGGTGGACGGGTGGATGGGCGAGTGGACGGGTGGATGGGTGACTGGATGCTGAGTGGATGGATAGACGGGTGAGTGGACAGCACAGGCTGGTGGGTGGACGGCCAGCCGAGCGGACAGACGGTGTTGGCAGAGGATCGGCGAGTGGCTGGACAGTTGGTGGGTCAGGTGACTGGACGAACAGGTGAGTGACGAATCTCCAGCTCTGATGACAAATGGCCGGCCTCTCAGCCGGACAGGCCCCTCCCAGCCGGCTGCGGCTGTGGGTGCACAGGGGCCCGGGTGCTTGCCCAGCTCCTCTGCAGTGGGCGTCCAGAGAACACAGCCTCCTCACTCGGTCCTCAGGCTCGGGCTTGAGTGAACGCTCCTCCTGGGCGCGCAGCTGGGGGCACACGCCACACCCTGCCCCGTAGCGTGGCCTCGGCCCCACCCGGTCGCCATCAGCTTGGTCCACCTGATGGCTCCTCTGGGCTTTGACCTGCTCCTTCCCCGTGGGAGAAGCCCCGCGCCTCACCTTGCCCCCCGTGGAGGCGACTCCCCTGCTTCAGAGCTGACTTTGGGGCCTGGCTGACCTGACGTCCACTCCCGGCCTCTGTTGGCCACAGCCGCACCCCCTGTCCGGGGCGTCCAGGGACCTCATGACCAGTCGTAACGGGCTTGAATGCGTCACGATTCCCAGCACCCACGGTGGCACTCCAGCCGGGAGGGGATGTTTGGACAATGTTGACTTAGCCCCTGTGTTCTGGCCTCTGCCAGTCCGGACTGGGTGACGGTCCAGACGCCGTAACGGCCCTCAGAGGGGTCCCATGACTCACTCAGGGTTACACAGCTTGGGGCCCGTCAGCCTGGAGGGAACGGTGGTTCAGGCTGCGTACAGAGCCCACAATGCGGCCACCAGCCTCGCTGCTGCTCACTGGGCACAGATGTGTCGGGGGTCGTTCAAGCGCTGTTTCTGGGGGTCTGGGGAGGAGAGGGATTCCGACCCTGGGTGCTGTGTTCCCCAGAGTCCCTGCCGCTCCTGACCCAGGGCTCCAGGTGGGATGGCCAGGTCCCCCTCGGGGCCTCCTTCCCCGCTGCAGGGCATCGTGCCCCCTTGGTCTCTCTGGGACTCCCTCCACCCCCAACCTGGGAGCTGGACAGGAGCCCACCCAAGACGCCCAGGCCTGCGTTGGAGGCTTGGCTTCCCCCGCCCACATCTCTCCGTTCTCACCCCGGCCCGTCCTGCCTGAGCCATGCCGAGTTGAGGCAGATTGAATGAATGAATGAGCGGATGAGTCCGGATGTGTGTGCGTGGGCAGAGGCCTCGGCAGGCGGGCGGGAAGCCTCTCCCGGGGAGCCTGGTGTCTCCCGCCTCCACTCACGGCTCCCCAGGGCCCCAGCATCCTGTCTCCCTGCCGGCATCTGGCTCGCCAAACTGTGCTTGGGGCCAGAGGTTGCCACACAACTCAGCTTTTGCAAGAGCTGATAGGCTGGGAGCCCCCGGAGTGGTTGGGGCATCCATCCAGGGGCCACGGCGACTCCCTAGGGTGGGTCTTAGGGGGGAGTTTCCTGGCTGTGCATGGGATGTGTGGCTGGCCAGGCCGGGAGAGTGAGGAGGTGACGCTGAGGCCATGCCCTGCCTTGTGGCCTCCACTGTATTCGAAAGCTGCAGGATGGTGGCCACTCACAGGGCTAGGCCTGTGCCCCCGGGGATCTGTGACCGCCACACTGTGGCTGTGATGTGGTTGGAGAAGACACTGGGTGAGGAAGGGTGTCTGTGGGGTGGGTGTCCTCAGAGCCCAGGGGAGCGTCCAGGACACAGAGACGGTCTGGAAGCGATCAGGGAACCCAGCCAGCATTTTGCCCCACCCGTGCTCCACATGGGTCAAGGGCACGTGGACCTTGGGGTCAGACAGACCTGCTCCCAGGCCGCTCCTTCCTGGCAGTATAGCCAGGGTGTAAACCAAGCCTGTCCAGCCCAGTTCCACTCATGAGCACTGGACTCCTGGAACACATCGACGTGCTCCCCAGTGACTGGAGCTCACCGTTCCAGCTGGTGTCAAAGTAAGAAGCTTGACAAGATACAGCATTGCCCTACTTCTGGGGCTGGCTTTTTTTTTGAGTTGGGGGTCTCACTCTGCTGCCCAGGCTCGAGTACGGTGGCATGATCACAGCTCACCACAGTCTCAACCTCCCGGACTCAGGCAATCCTTCTACCTCAGCCTCCCAAGTAGCTGGAACTACAGACGCACGCCAACACACCTGGCTAATTTTTTAACTTTTTTGGTAGAGATGAGGTCTGACTGTGTTGCCCAGGCTGGTCTCAAACTCCTGGGCTCAAGCACACCTCCCACCACGGCCTCCCAAAATGCTGAGAGCCACCACACCTGACGGCGTCTGTGACTTCCGACCAACACAAGCTAAACCATCCGCCATTTGTTCAAGGACACACGTGGGTCGATGACACTACCGAAGTTCCTTGAGGGGGTTCCCAAGCGTGAGCGGTCACATCCGCTCCTGGAATGTGTCCTGCAAACCTGGTTTGTTGTGGTCGCTGAATCAGTGGGACTTTCCTCCCTCTTCTTGTGGAAAGGTGGGCCTACTTCTGTGGGCTCAGAGGCCACAGGCCCTATCCTTTGAGCGGGACAGCACAGCAGGGCCCCCAGCCTGCAAAGTCATGCTCCCACCCCCTAACCCCCCAGTCCTGAACCTTTCCCCATGGGTCCGTCATCCTCTACCAGCCTCTGCATGGCTGGGTGCCTTCTTGGAAGACAGCGGCCACAGGTGGACGCATTCCTGAGACCCCAGCCTTGCTTTCCCCGTGTAGCCGTGTGTGTGTGTGTGTGTTTCCAGGGCCTCCCGCCCCAGCCTGGCGGCAGGTGTGTCTGTGAAGGCCCCTTGATCCTGAATCAGCGGGACCCGGTTAGAGCGGGTCTTGCCATCAGGGCAGAAATCAGTCTAGTGTGGAATCCACGAAACCAACCAAGGTGGGCGCAAACTACTCTGTCACTGGGGCCACTGGGAGTGGGTCGGGTGCACCCCGGTGATGACGTCTCTCGGTGGAAGCTTCTGGGCATTTCCTCGCCCAGCGCAACTGATGCACAAGTGAATCAGATAAACTGTGGGCCACCCGGGGGTTACTTGGATTCTCTGTGGCAAAATGCCCACAAAATAAAACCTTCCACCTTACTGGTTTTTTTTTTTTGAGTCGGAGTCTCACTCTGTCGCCCAGACTGGAGTGCAGTGGCCGCTCCCGGCCACCGCAGCCTCGACCTGCTGGGCTCCGGCGATCCTTCCGCCTCAGCCTTCCAAGTAGCCGGAATTACAGGCACGCGCTACCACGCCCGGCTGATTTTTTGATTTATTGTCGAGATGAGGTCTCGTTGCCCAAGCAGGTCTCGAACCCGCAGGCTCAGGCCATCCACTCACCTCAGCCTCCCAAAGGCACGGGATGACAGGCTGAGCCACCGAGCCCAGCCTTCACCTTACTGTTTTTAAGTGCACAGTTCAGGGGCTCTGAGGACATTCCCACTGCTGTGCAGCCAGCACCATCCTCCAGCTCCCGGACCTTCCATCTTCCCAAACTGAAACTCTGTCCCCATGAACCTCTCACCGCCCCCTCCCCAGCCCAGCACCCACCATCCTTCTCTCTGTCTCTATGGACCCGACGGCTCTGGATTTGTCCTTCGGTGACGGGCTTATTTCACGTAGCCGCGTGTGCTCAAGGTTCAGCCCGCTGCAGTGGGCGTCTGAATCTCCTTCCTGCTTAAGGCAGAATAATACTCCGTTGTGGGGATGGACCGCGTCATGGGTCTCCGTTCGCCCATCGGTGGCCACTTGGTGCCTCCCGTTTCTTGGCTGCTGTGAAGAGCGCTGCCATGAACACAGGTGTGCGGATTCCTCTCCGCGTCCTGCTCTTCGTATGTTCAGGGACACGCCCAGGAGCGGAATGGCTGGGTTCACGTGCGTCTTCTGACTGCAAAGGCCAGCCCGGGGCCCGTTCCGGCTTCCCCGCTGCCTGGCGTCAGGAGTTCCCGTGTGACTGCCTGGGGCGTGGTATTTGTTGGGTAGGTTGACCGTGGACTGTGGAGCCTGGCCCGTGACCCCTCTGTCTCTCTGTCCCTCCTGTCTGACCCAGGTCGCCTTTTGCTCCTGGTGCCAACAAGGACGCCCTCTCAGCCTTCGAGTACCCGGGGCCCAAGCGGAAGCTGTACAGCGCGGTGCCTGGGAGGCTCTTCGTCGTCGTGAAGCCATACCAACCCCAAGTCGATGGCGAGATCCCCCTTCATCGTGGCGACAGGGTCAAAGGTCAGTGTCCGCCGGCTGTCTTCGGCTTCTGGGGCAGGGCCGGGCAGGGGCCCTCAGCCTCCATTGGCTCCTTGGGGGACGTCGAAACCATCGCCTCCACAGGGCCCCCACGGAAATCACAGAGCCCCCAAAAGGGCAGGAGTCGGGAACAGAGTGATGTCCCTTCTTCCTCTCCGTCGGCCTCAAGGGTGGCGTGTCCCGGGGCTGAGTCTGTTAGGGAAGAAAGGCCACGTGTGTGTGTCTGGCGTGAGACTCCCCCATGGAACGTGCAGGGAAGAGCCAGACGAGGGCTTTGCCGGGCAGTGTCCCCTAGAGTCATGAGGTGACCGTGTAGCCCCAGGACAGATCGGCATTGGGGTATCCAGGGGTAGAAAGTCAGCAGGAGCCAACTCAGGGGCCCTCCACATCCAAAGGAAGGAAGGTCTACCAGGCGGGAAGGAAAATGTCCTGGAACAGTGGTTGACACGCCACCTGAGCGCGGCCTAGACTCCAGGCCGAGGCCTTGGGCTGTGTCCTGTGGGCCTTGGGGAACCCAGGGTGATCTCTGCACTCCGAGAGTGGGCACGTGAGTTGCTGCAGGCAGAGGGACGCGGGGACAGGCGTACAGAGGAGAGGCAGGGGTGGGCTGCCGGGGCCACGCCGGGGTGGGCTGCAGGAGCTCGCGGGGGAAGCTAGGAAGGCAGGAAGGGCGCGATCCACATGCCCTGCATGCTCAGGCCCTGCCGTCGAAGAACAGGCTGGACACGGGCTACCGCGAGGTTCTAATGTCTGGAGAGCTCCATTCTCTCTTGACTCCTGACCTTCCTGCCACACGCAGATTTGATCTTCCCGCAGCCTCGCACAAGTCCCCAGCGTGCAATGCATCTTCCTTTCCATCGTTTTTCCTTTAGTGAACTCATTCTATTGATCTATTTTTAAGTGCACTCACGCTTCCCTTTAGCTGTTAAGTCCATCATGTGGGCTGTATCATCTCAGAAATCACATGTTGACTAGAGTTTGTGTGTGTGTGTGTTTATTATTTGCTTTTATTCACCGAGGCTTCCTATTATTTGGATTTTTTGTTCTGCACTGAAAGCAGTTTTTTTTTTTAAATACCTGCCTCACATGGTTATTGTAAGGTTTGTTTTATTTATTTATTTTTTTAAATTTGGGTCTCACTTTGTCATCCAGGCTGGAGTGCAGCAGCACGCTCACGGCTACAGCAGGCTCAACCTCTGGGCTCAGGCGATCCTTCCACCTCAGCCTCCCAAGGAGCTGGAACCACAGGTGCATGCCTCCATGCCTGGCTCATTTTTTTGATTTACTGTAGCAGTGAGGTCTCGCCAAGTTGCCCAGGCTGGTTTTGAACCCCTGGGCTCAGGCAGCCCTCTTGCCTTCACCTCCCAAAGTGCTGGGATAATAGGTGTGAGCCACCACTCCCAGCTCATTTTTTCCTTTTGTTTTGTTTTAATGACATTGTGGATTGGTGTATTCACCCACTTTAAAATTCCTGCCAGTGTCTCCCTCTTGGATTGGGGTTCAGTTGATTCCCTTTTCTCTCGGGAGCGTGTTTCACTCCCTTAGGTCTTTGTGTGTCTGGTAATTCTCGGTTGCGTTCTACACATTAGCATGCTAAGTGCTGGCGACTCTGGCTTCTGATGTTTTTCGCCCGGGAGCTTCTTCCTTCCGTCTTGGCAGCTTGCTTGGATGACAGCCCTGTCGTCGTCCAGTTCCTGCAGCTCTAGCTGAAATGCTTTGCATCTGTTCCATGCATGCAGGGTTCACGGTTCGGTCAGAGAGGCATGAATCCTGTCTGAGTCTGCCAGCCCCCTCTCTGGCTCTGTGCCTTGGAGGGGTTTCCCCACTGGCTGCAGGGTTCCTGATTCCCTGCCTCCACCTTTCTGGTTCTTCGAGCTGTTTGGGCAGCCCATTCTGCCACGTGGCCTGTCTTTAGCCCTGGCCACAACGCGGAGAAGGGCCCTTCCCGTACACCGCCCCTCCTCCTCCCTCAGGCAGACTGGCATCCCACCAGAGTCTGCCACCTCCTAGTCAGTTCCCAGCCGTGCCTTGTGCATAACCCTCCGGTTCTAGGGCCGATTTCAGTTGGGCTGTCCCCTAGGGTCTTTGTCCATGATACCCCTTGGCGGAAGTCCCCGAATTGCCCCGGGTACAGCCTAGCATGGCATTGTTGTTAGTTTTGAAGCCATAAGTATAGACATCCACATGGTGTGGCATTTTGGACTGTGGCACCGTGCCCTCTGTCATCACGGAGTCCTCACTCTTCCCCGCACGTTAACTCTGGTCCAGCAGATCCTGCCGCCGTCACTGACAGTGCAGCAGATCCCACAGTGATGCTCAGGACGTGGCCATTGTCTGTGTGGCTGGCTCGTGGCCAGGGAGGTGCCTCTGTCGCTAGAAGGCGTTTAAAACGTCCCTGCTGGTTGTGAGGCCCTCCCTGGACAAGATCGTTACTCTACAGTCCTGCCAGCTGAGTATGGGAAGCCACCCCTCCCATAACCAATGCTGCATCTTCACCACCGCCCCTGCGGGGTTACTTTCTAGGGGCTTCCCGGGCTGCAAGGGGGCTTTCTGGGGGATACAGCAGGGAGGTTCACACCTGGTCACATCTCTGTTCATGCCACTGGCCATGTGGCTTCCTCCATACCCATGGGCAGAGCTGGCAAGACCACGCCAGGGCACAGGGTCCAGGGCAGCCAGACTCTAGACCTTTCCTGTAGGCCCCTGCCTCCCCCTGCTCCACTTCTGTGGGTCTGTGTCCTCTGTCCCTTGTCCCCGAGCGCCGTCTTTGTGAGCACAACTCAGAGGCAGCCATCAACCTTCTGGGAGCAGACACCATCCTGTGAGACCCGGGGTCAGGCGGGTCTCAGCCGTGCCGTGTCTCAGAGCCACTGCCTCGCGTGCCTCGGTGGCTATGTTGACCACCGCCATGGCTCCTCTGGCCACTGGCCTCTGAGTCCCAGGCACTGCCTCTCAGGAGGCCAGGGCTCATGTGAAGACAGCACCAGGCCACCCCCTGCTCTCACCTCCGCCAGGGACCCCCGCCCCAAAGCGTCCCTCAGTCTCCCCACTCAGCCCCGGCTCTGAAGGCAGCCCTCACCGCCCACTCCCCGGGCCCACAGGGGGCCTCGAGACCAGAGCCTCCAGGTGGGACCAGAGGCACCTTCAGTAACTTCACGGTGACCCACCGGCCAGACCCTTTCCTCGGGGCTCTGTGTCCTTCTCCATAAATCAGAGACAATGACGGAGGTGTTGACAGAGGCAGACACGTGAGTGAGTTGCCGGTAACCGGGCCCAGCCCCAGACACATCACACATGTTCGTGCATGTAGTCTGAACGCTTACTGTGAGCTGAGAGTACCCGGTTCCATTTTCTGCTCCGCTCAGGCGGTCGTGACATGGCTCCATGGCTTGGGGTCTTCCGCAGCCAGCGGGCATGCCCTCTCCGTCCTGGAAGCTGGAGGCTAAGGTCAAGGTGGCGCAGGGAAGGGGTCCTCCTGTGGCCTCTCTCCTCAGCTTGTGGGCACTTTCTCCTGGCATCCTCACAAGGCCATCCCTCTGGGCGTGTCCGTGTCCTCATCTCTGTGAGATCAGGGCCACCCCCATGGCCTCATTTTAACTTCATCACCTCTTTATTTTTTTTCTTGATTGATTTTTTGAGTCGGGATCTCACTCTGTCGCCCAGGCTGGAGTACAGCGGCACGACCGTGGCTCACTGCAGCCTCGAGTTCTTGGCTTCGGCAATCCTCCTGCCTCAGCCTCCCGAGTAGCTGGGATGACAGGCACCACCACCTCGCCCGGCGAATTTTTTAAAAGTTTCTGGTAGAGGCGATGTCTCGCTGTGTTGCTCAGGCTGGTCTCGAGCTCCTGGACTCGAACAATCCTCCCACCTCGGCCTCCTAAGCTGCTGGGATTATAAGCGTGAGCCGCTGTGCCCAGCCTTCATCACCTCTTTAGAGATCCAAATGTAGTCACTGTGTGAGTTGTGGGGCTGAGGACTCCATACACGGCTGTGGGGGACACGGTTCTGCCCCTGATGTGGCGACACTGTTGAGAGACCGCCATGCTCTCCTGCTACAGCTGGCCGAGGTCTCAGATCCACATCTGACTCCAGACCCAGCTGGTCCCACCCCTAGCAGCGCCTGTCCTGTTCCCTCTCCCTCACAAGTGCCTGGTGCCAGTTTTCCTGGGTTTTGCTCTGGTCTGCGGTCTTGGCATTGCTTGAGGGGATGGGGTGGGGGGAGCCTTTCCTGTTCTTTTCTGCGTCTGCTTGGCCGGGGCTCTGTCATCCCCCCATGTCCCCAGGATTGAGAGTCATGGCCCAAAGGCAGTCCACGGAGGATGAGGAATGGGGGTGGCCGCTGACTTGCGGTGTGAGGCGGGGAGCCCCAGGCATCCTGGTGGGTTCCCAGAGCCCGAGGCAGGCCTTGGGGAGAGAGATGAGGGCCGGGCATCTCCTTAGTACCCTGGACAGTTACGCGGGAGGCAGACAAGGAGCTGGGCAGGGTGGCATCTCAGCTGGATTTGGGGGTCTCTGGAGAATGGTCTGACCCCAGAAATGCTTGTGCCTTGAGGCCAGGGCCGGCCACTGGCTTCGGGAGTGGGGTCTCGCCACTGGCTGGAGGCCCCCCGCAGGAAGAAGCCCAGAGGAGGGTGGGCGAGGGTCTCAGCGACCCGTTCCCCACAGCGGGGTCGGGGCTTCCCTCGGTCACGGCAACCTGGTTGGGGCAGACACAGCGCCCACCGCCCCAGGCACTGCGGGGAAGGGACCTGCGAGGGCCAAGGCGGCAGGAGGCATCGATGGCTGTGACCCTCGGAGCAGGTGGCACTTGTTGGCGTGAGCAGGGGGCGAGAGGACCAAGTGCGCACCCCATGGAGGGCCCTTGTGGGTCTCACCAGGGCCAGGGCATCATGGAGGCTGCGTGCTCGGAGGGGTCCTATGGCCACACTGCAACCCACTCTCCCTGCCGTCCCCACCTTCCTGTCCTGCAGCTGGGGGTGTGG